GTCAAGAGCATTTTTGATTTGACTCCTTTATCCAGCGCCTTAAAACGTGAAACATTTAGTCTGGAACTGGGACAACACACGCTGGTCAGATTCAACAGCAATGTCTGGTAGACCAATAGGTTGGCTTTCTGCGCAACCGCCTCGCCTAGACCCTGCGACGCGTTCGCAAATGTGTTGTCTGTCATTTTCCCACGCGCACCTAAAAAAAGCTCGAAGTCGTTAATCGTAAATTAGGGGTGATAAAGGGTCAGAACAAGCGATGCGAGGCGGGCGCGCGGGATACCGCTGCTACCGGTCACTGCAAATGAGATAGTTTGTACACGCCATTGGACCTGGCGCGGTTCTTTACAAAAACTGAAAAATGACCTGTTTGGCGATGGAAGCAGCTCGAGTCATGTCCTCATAGGATGAGTTGGTGCAAGAACCAATTAGAGAAACTTTGATATCCAAAGGCCAGTCGTTCTTTTTTGCTTTCTCTCCTAGCTGGTCAATAGGAGTGGCGAGATCAGGTGTATAGGGTCCGTTTATATGAGGGACCAGTTCGTCGAGATTAATGTGCACAACCTGAGATTTTTTCAGTGAAAATTCAATTCAAGTAGGAAAAATCAAAGTACTTTGTCATAATGGGCGCCTTCATCAGCTACGAAGAGATCTTTGTATTTTTCCGTTTCTTTGGCAATGTCGTAACGTTCAGTAGACTAAATACCAATTAATTTTCAAAATATGTCAAAGATTGAGGTCTCACCTCTAAGTACTCCCTCATACCCTTAGTGTACGGAAACACTGAGGTCGTCGCTCCAACCTCGGCACCCATGTTACATATCGTTCCCATGCCAGGGGCGGAAAGAGATTCTACCCCAGGTCCAAAATATTCGACAACGGCGCCGGTGCCACCTTTCACTTTGAGTATGTCGCATACCTGACAAAAAAAGAAATGATTTTATAAAAAGTATTATGTCATTAATGTGTATTTGAAAATAGTAATAATGATAATAAAAAGAATGACGGTTAAAATCGCAACTATAATGCCAACTTTTTAAAATGAGATGAGACGTATTATGTGGGTCCGAAAGTTCGTGCCGTTTTTTAGACCTATTCTAAAATCAATCAAATTGTAGATAGACAAATCCTTTAAACAGCAGCTATGTTTCCGTTGTGACTATTTCGACAACGGCTGAGATAATTGGCAAAAACTGA